CCCCCCCACATACCCCAACCCTCTACCTCAGCCCTCAGCTCCTCATCCCTGACCCCACCTCGGAGCCCCTCAGTGAACCCCAACCCTCTCCCCTGCCTTGAGACACCCCCCCCACACACACGCCAAACCCCTTGGCCTCACCCCCACCCCATGAACGTTGGTTTTTTGTACCCATTCAGAGGTGAAGTTTCACACACCTCCATACTGGTGCACATAACCAAATTAATTCTGCACGTAGGTGGGAACAGTTAGAGGGAAGGTTGGTGGGGGTCTCAGTAGAGGGTGCTTTCTCCTGGGTAGAGACACCCCCCCCACACACACGCCAAACCCCTTGGCCTCACCCCCACCCCATGAACGTTGGTTTTTTGTACCCATTCAGAGGTGAAGTTTCACACACCTCCATACTGGTGCACATAACCAAATTAATTCTGCACGTAGGTGGGAACAGTTAGAGGGAAGGTTGGTGGGGGTCTCAGTAGAGGGTGCTTTCTCCTGGGTATCAGCGCTGGCTCTAGTGCAGCAGTAGGGGGCGCTGTGCGGCAGGTAGCTGGGTGGTGGCTCAGCAGGGGGCACTCTCCTCTCAGTGCCAAGGGCTGGCCCCAGTAGGGGGCGCTGTGCGGCAGGTAGCTGGGTGGTGGCTCAGCAGGGGGCACTCTCCTCTCAGTGCCAAGGGCTGGCCCCAGTAGGGGGCGCTGTGCGGCAGGTAGCTGGGTGGTGGCTCAGCAGGAGCTGCGTGCTCTTGGTGCCTGTGCCCCCCATGTGCGGTGCAGCCGGGAGAGGGATGGAGGGGTCGGTAGGGGCTGCGTGCTCTTGGTGTCTGTGCTGTCCCCCATGTGGCAGTAGGGGGTGCTGTGCGGCAGGGAGCGAGTGGGCGGGGGCTGGGTAAGGTTCTAGCATCTGGCTCTGACGCTGAGTCTGCGTCTCTGTAGCTGGGCACCCTGCGTTTCTGCGGCACGACGGAGTTCGCTAGTGGCCAGTGGGTCGGAGTGGAGCTGGATGAGCCGGAAGGCAAGAACGATGGAAGCGTGGGAGGAATACGCTACTTCATTTGCCCTCCGAAGCAAGGTAAACGGGGGCGTGCTTGGAGCAGGGAGCCAGGACTCCGGGACTCGGCGCCTAGCTCTGGGGTGGGAGGGGGGTCTCTGGCGCGGCCTGGGTTCCCCTCTCGGGAAGGGGCTCAGTGGTTAGGCATCCGGGGCTGTACAGCTACGCAGTGTCTGAGCCCCCATTCACTGTTGTTGGGTTTGTCCCTTCCCAGGAGTTTTCGCCTCTGTGTCTAAAATCACCAAAGCCACAGACCAGATGCCGTCTTCAGTCACGTCCACCCCCAAAACGCCCCGCATGGACTTCGCCCGCATGGCCGGGAAGGGCCGCAAGGACAAGAAAGGTAGCGGGGCCGCTCTAGGGGCAAACCCGCTGGGGGCTGGGAGCCAGGATTCCTGGGTTCTCTTCCCGGCTCTGCCCCTTTCCCTCCACCCCTCGATCGTCCCCCTCTGGAAGGCTCATGAATCTGACTTTGCGGGCTGCGGGGCGGGGTCTTGACATGGCAGCCCAGAGGTGACGGGGGCAGGGCTCTGCTAGATGAGCCGGGAGCCCCCCCAGAGCCGCGATTTGGATCCCGCCTGCCCTGGTGGGGGAGGTGAAAGCCCCCGCAGGCTGGGACAGCAACGTGCTGAAGGGCAAATTTGCATGCTATTTACATATGCAAATTGGAAAGGCCCAGCCTCCCCACAAACCAACCCCACCAGTTCTCCCCACCCACATGCATCGTTCCTCCCCATATTCCATCCAGTGTCCTCCCCTCCACCTCCTGACCCCTTTCCACCCTCTCCTTCAGCCCGCCCGGGCCTGGCATCTCCCGCCAAGGGCCTGGCCCCCGCCCCCTGCTCCCTCTAAGTCGCTCATTGGAGGAGAGAGGAAAAGGGGACGGCAGGGAGGCAGCCGGATTGGTTGGCAGGCGGGCAGGGGGAGGAGTTTCATTCCCTGCCCTTCCCCGCCCTCTCTGGCCCCAGGCTCCCAGCTGGGGCAGGTGGGGCTGGAGGGCTGGCCAGGGCCCAGCGGCCTCACTGCCTTTCCGCTCAGCCCTCAGGAAGAAGTCTCCTTCCGTGGGCAGCCTGGACCGAGAAGGGCTGAAGATCGAGCTCGGGGACCAGGTGCTGGTGGCAGGGCAGAAGCAGGGCATCATCCGGTTCTACGGCAAGACGGACTTTGCGCCGGGTGAGGAGGCAGGGCTGCCGGCTGCCGGCTGGCGGGTGGGAAAGGCTGTGAGCCTCTTACGGCCCGCGGACCCCACAGGGTCTTTTAGGTCTGGCTGGAGTCCAGGGCGCTGGGGTTTGGTTCCTCGTGCCGAGAAATCGAGAGCTGATGGCTCCTTATCCCCTCGCCAGGTTACTGGTTTGGCATCGAACTGGACAAGCCCACCGGGAAACACGACGGCTCGGTCTTCGGGGTCCGATACTTCGCCTGCCCCCCCAAACACGGAGTTTTTGCTCCTCCTTCCAGGGTCCAGAGGTACGTCCCTCTGGCTCCGGCCACGCGGGTCTGGGTGAGGGTGAGCGATGGCCGTCTGGTGGCTGGCTCCCTGCTGGCTGTAGCTCGAGGCTGGGTGCCTGGGCTTGTAACACTCCAGGACCTGGGTTCTAATCCTACCTCTTGGAGGAGAGTGAATGCAATTTCCTGGGCTCTGATTCTAATGGGCAAGGCCATGTCTGCCTCCAAATCATCCCTTTGAGTAGCGGATCATTGCATGGGGGCCTCAGCTGAGGAAAGTGGCTTCCTCCAGATTATCTGCCTCTGGCCCTTAAGAGGGTTGGGGACAGACCTCAGGCCTTGTGTATGCTTGATCCCCGTCAGCAGCGCATGAGGCCCTGTACTAGCCATGACACTGGTGCAAAAAGCATCGAACGCTGGTGGGTGGAATCTGGGCAGATCCCTGGTGTAGGTTCATTGTGGCTTCACCTCCCTTGATCAGTTCTCTCCTGGCCCCCTTCCCCCACCTTTTGCAGAGTCGGCGGCCCCAAAGACTCCCAGGGAGATGGCAGTTCAGTGAAGAAGGTGCACCAAGTCACTAGTAGGTATACTATGGATCCTCTGCCTTTCCATCCTTCTCCCGCCCCCCAGCAATGGGAGGGACCAAGGGCCAAGCCTGTCTCCCCTTGTGACTCCACTGGCTTTGCACCAGAGGTGACTTTAATAAAACCTCGGGGGGGGCTTTGCATCTACCATAACAGCCTCCCTTGCACAGATGGGGAAACTGAGGTGCAGAGTAAATTAAATTAATGGAGATTGCCTATCTCCTAGAACTGAAAGGGACCTTGAAAGGTCATTGAGTCCAGTCCCCTGCCTTCTCAGCAGGACCAGGTACCATCCTGGACAAATTTTTGCCCTGAATCCCTAAATGGTCTCTGCAAGGATTGAACTCACAATCCTGGGTTTAGCAGGCCAATGCTTAAACCACTGAGCTATCTCCCCCCACTGGGTTATATAGGGGGGTGTGTCTTTGGCAGAGTGGACTACATGAGCGAGCCTCCTTTGCCTCAGTGGGCCGCAAGATTGAAATCAGCCATGTGTGCTAACCAGGATCCCGAGAATTTACACTGACTTTACATCAAATCTCTGCCCGGCCTCTGCCCACCTCCTCTCCCCAGCATGTCCCGCCCCTGCTCCTCCCCCTCCCTCCCAGCACGTCTGGGGTGCCAGTGATTCAGGGCATATGAGCTCTGGGAGGGAGGGAGAGGCGCAGGGATGGGAGGAGAATCAGCTGATTCATGGCACTCCGGGAGTGCTGGGAGGAAGGGGGAGGTGTAGGTATGTGCTAAGCGAGTGGTGTGGGGGAAAGGGACAGAGAGGGGGTTCACAGGCCAAACATGGAACCTCAGTGGGCTGCAGGATGCCCACCCCTGCTCTAACCACTACTCCATGCTCCCTTCATTCTGCCAGTGCCACTCCCTCACCCATACTGCTAGTGCCGCCCTCAAAGCAGCAGCAGCCTGCCACCCCTCCCCGGTTTTAGCTGAGTCTCGGCATCTCCACACTCGTTTGTAACCACCGTGCAGGGCATCGAATCCAGGCGTCCCAGGCGAGCCCCCTAACCACTAGGCAGCACTGCCTCCTGCCAAGACATTGATCGCAAGGAGCTTAGCTTAGGCCCGTGCCCGCTACAGGTCTTGTGATGGAGAGGGGGGTTTGTCGGAGGGTTCTCGGTGGCTGATGCCGCTGAAGTGACTGTGTTGTCCCATCTCTCGCAGTGTCACAGCCAAAGCGCAACTTCACGGCGGTCAGGACCCCAAAAGACATCACATCAGAAAACTCCATCTCTAGGTAAGGCTGGGGAGGAGCTGGGGGTGAAGGCCAGAGCTCTCCCATCTGGGCTTGGGGGAAGAGCCATCCCCACCCTGGGGCCTGGCCAGAGAAAGGACCCTCCGCCCCCCCGCATCCAGCAGCATGCTCTGTAGCAGCCCCAACCCCGCCCAGCTTGCAACTGGAGCCAATGGAGAAGAGTGCAGTGCAAGTTCCCTGTGCTGGAAGCTGCTCTCCGGCTGGGGCGAGGCAGCTGGAGGAGCCAGACAATCAGCGAGCCCCTTAGGAATTGTAATGTACGGGGGTCACACTCGGGCCCCCAGCAGTGAAATATATAGTAGGCAGCTGTCCCTTTCTCCACCCTTGCTCCCTGCTGGCCCAATGGGGTTATAGCTGTCCCAGTCCCCATCTCTGGCTCCTTGTGCCCCCCTGTGGTCATTCTACAGTGCAACTGTCCCTCCAACCAGACGCCTCCCTTCCCATTTTATGAGAAGCAATTCCAGGCACATCCCATTGTCCTAGCACAACCAAACCCTGACCTTGCTCTTTAAGATATGATAAGAGCAAACTGCCTACCAAATGTGGTGGTCCTAGATCTCACCATTTAAGAGGCATTCTTGAATGGACTCACAGATGGACAGACAGACAGATGCACGTTCTAAAATATAGTGTAAGAAGATTATGGTAGCACCTCAGTCACGGACAGGGGCCCCTTTCTGCTAGGGTTGTACCTTTTAATTGCTATTAGGTGTATTATGGTAGCTCCTAGGCACCCCAGTCATGGGTCAGAACCCAGTTGTGCTAGGGGGACTGTACGTTTTATTGCAATTAAGTGTTTAACAGTAGCACCCCCCAGGCAAGACCCCCATGGTGCTACATACTGTATGTTTTTATTGCTATCAGGTGCATTATGGTAGTGCTTAGGAGCCCCAGTCTTGGACCAGGCTCTTGTGGTGCCAGGTGTTATACATTTCTGTTGCTGTTAGGTGTATTATGGTAGTGCCTAGGAGCCTATGTTGGACCAGGCTCCCATGGTACCCGGCCTTATATTTCTGTTATTAGGTGTATTATGGTAGCACCTAGGTGCCCCAGTCTTAGAGCAGGCTCCCGTGGTGCCAGGCACTGTATATTTCTGTTGCTATTAAGTGTATTACGGTAGTGCCTAGATGCCCCAGTCTTGGAGCAGGCTCCCGTGGTGCCAGGGGCTGTATATTTCTGTTGCTATTAGGTGTATTACGGTAGTGCCTAGGAGCCCCAGAAGAGCCAGGCACTGTACATTTCTGTTGCTATTAGGTGTATTACAGTAGCACCTAGGAGCCCCAAAAGAGCCAGGCACTGTACATGTCTGTTGCTATTAGGTGTATTACAGTAGCACCTAGGAGCCCCAAAAGAGCCAGGCACTGTACATGTCTGTTGCTATTAGGTGTATTACAGTAGCACCTAGGAGCCCCAAAAGAGCCAGGCACTGTACATGTCTGTTGCTATTAGGTGTATTACAGTAGCACCTAGGAGCCCCAAAAGAGCCAGGCACTGTACATGTCTGTTGCTATTAGGTGTATTACAGTAGCACCTAGGAGCCCCAAAAGAGCCAGGCACTGTACATGTCTGTTGCTATTAGGTGTATTACAGTAGCACCTAGGAGCCCCAAAAGAGCCAGGCACTGTACATGTCTGTTGCTATTAGGTGTATTACAGTAGCACCTAGGAGCCCCAAAAGAGCCAGGCACTGTACATGTCTGTTGCTATTAGGTGTATTACAGTAGCACCTAGGAGCCCCAAAAGAGCCAGGCACTGTACATGTCTGTTGCTATTAGGTGTATTACAGTAGCACCTAGGAGCCCCAAAAGAGCCAGGCACTGTACATGTCTGTTGCTATTAGGTGTATTACAGTAGCACCTAGGAGCCCCAAAAGAGCCAGGCACTGTACATGTCTGTTGCTATTAGGTGTATTACAGTAGCACCTAGGAGCCCCAAAAGAGCCAGGCACTGTACATGTCTGTTGCTATTAGGTGTATTACAGTAGCACCTAGGAGCCCCAAAAGAGCCAGGCACTGTACATGTCTGTTGCTATTAGGTGTATTACAGTAGCACCTAGGAGCCCCAAAAGAGCCAGGCACTGTACATGTCTGTTGCTATTAGGTGTATTACAGTAGCGCCTAGGAGCCCCAGAAGAGCCAGGCACTGTACATGTCTGTTGCTATTAGGTGTATTACGGTAGCACCTAGGCGCCCCAGTTTTGGAGCAGGCTCCTGTGGTGCCAGGCACTGTACAGACACTGACCACAAAGCCAGTTTCTGCCCCGCTTCCTTCTCATTTCCTCTTCCCGGCTGCGAGCTGCTAGGCGAGCGCTTCCCCCTCTCTCGTTTCTTTCAGATTACTCTTCTGCTGCTGGTTCCCCTGGATGCTGCGCGCGGAGATGCAGTCCTAAGGCCACGGCGCTCGCCCCTGCCCTCCTCCGCTCTGTCCTCTGCTCTCCAACTAACCGAAAGACTGCTCTCCCTGTCGGGCTCTCCCCTCCCCCCCGGTCGCAGTTCTAGTGAACCCCAGTGCCTTGGTACCATTGAACGTCGCCCCGTCGTCCGTGAGAAAGGCTGCACTGACCCCACCCCCACGTGCGTACGCACCCCCACCCCACGTAGACGTGATATGGGCTCGGAGGCTCCCCTTTGATTTCTCCCCCGACCCCCTTCAGGGAGTGGTGCCACAAACGCCAAGCGTCCCGGGTACCGATTTCCCTCTGCGGTTCGATTGTTCTCAGCCTGACACCCGGGCGAGGCTGATCCAGCGCCCCCCGAACCCAGCCCTTTGTTTTGCTCCTCAACGAAACTTGATCTAACCTGGCCTGTCTCTGCATTACTGCAGCGGCATGGACAGGGTCACATCATAACACCCCGAGTGTGGCAGCAGCGCTCCTCCCCAGCCTAAGCCGCCTTTTTCAGGTACTGCTCTCTTTCAGGATGAATGGTATTAGATTGCTCAGTCCCTTCCAGGGAGGAGAAACTGGTCCCAGGGCCATCTTTATCCATATGCAGAAAACGAAGCAGTGTAGGACACCTGAAAATGTGGGGCACCACTGGGTCTTAAGACCCATCCCCCTACCTCTTTCTGTCCCTGTTCTGTGGCTTTGCTTCCTCCAGAAAGCACCTAGGTCACTTGTAAGTGACCTAGCTTGCTGGAGCTATTAGCAACACATGGATCTCATGAAAGAGACATTTGAGTGTAAGGAAGCCAATTCACAGGCCAAGCCCCGGTCAGTTTCTGAAGTTGCCGTGGGAGCCGTAACTGAGTTTAAAATTTGCTTTAGACATATTCCATTAGTGTGTGCTGAAATGTATAAAATCACAGCCCTAAAAATCGTCATCGGCCCCCCCACGCCCGTGGAGCACCAGTTTAATAGCACCACATCAACCCGAAGGACAATCTTGACTGGTCCTGTGTTGGGCTGTAAAGAGCAGTGAGATTTGGGGACGCTCTGAAAGCAGTGGAGAGAGCCCCAGTCCCTCAGGCATTCGCTCTGGGGTGCACAGGTCAGTCACTATGGGGGGAAATCTGTAAGGTAGATCAGTGCTTACAACGATTGCTAAGCACTCCCCTCGTAACACAACCCCACCAGGGGCCAACTGATGTTGGCTTCAAAGTTTGGAGTAGCTTGCACCAGTTCAGGGCAGATTTGAGGGGTCGGGTCTCAACACAGCGGGTTGCCAGACACCCCCTGATCCCTCCTTCATTCTCATTTATTCGCTCCCTTCAGCGCGATTACTTTGTATTTGCAGGCAAACCCGCCAGACTTTTTTCCTTTCGAGCGGTTTACAAAAAAAAAGTATATTTTTAAAAGAAAATCACCCTTACTATTTTAAAAGAAAAATTAGCCACGGACAAATGGGAGCTGGCACGTTGCTGTTCCCCACCGAGCCGAAGGTCTTGTCTAGACACGGACATTGTCCCACTTACAGCAATCCAGTGTAGTTATACAAAGTTCCCTCTAATCTTGTCCATCCATGTGTAGATTTTTTCCATCTATGTGCGGAATATTTTTTTTCCGTGTGCTGAGGCACGCGTGAATGTGCACCACCAGTAGAAACACAACCAACCTGTGCTAATCAGCTGGCCAGCATTTGGATTTCTCCTGAGCAGCTGCACAAGCACAGCTTACAGGGAACGCAGGATGGGGAACAAGCTATATCCGGCTACAAGTCACCTTTATCCCTTGTGACTAAGCCTACACAGGAGTTGGATTGCTGCACCAGGATCAGTGAAAAATCGCAGCTCTGGCCCCTGTGGTTGCGGCAGCACAAATTCTGTGTGTAGAATTGGTGCAAGGGTCTCTCCTCTCATGGCCACAAGCTTGGTAAATAGAACCTGCCACTCACCTGCTTCAGCCAGCTTTTAGCTGGCATGAGCCAGGATACAGGTGCCTCGTACTGGGGCAGCTTATTCCGCGTCCCATGTGGGAATAGCTACCCCGGTGTAAGCACTCTGAGCTGGGGATAACTGCATCCACGCTGGAGGGGGCCTGGCCCGGTCTGGAGAAAGGGCTTTCGGGGCAGGCCAGGGGTCGGGAATGCTGGAAAGCTGAAGGTGTCCGGGATGTTCCCAACCGCCTCCGAGCGTCTTTCAGGTGAGCGGCTGCTTTAGAGGATGGTGTCGTGCTCCCTAAGTGGCCAGGCGTGGCTCCGGGCAGCTGCAGTTATTGCAGGCTGCTGTCTGGGGCAGCTGGGGGGGGACTACCCAAGACAGGGGGGGGAAACCAGGAGCAGCTGCCTAGACTCTCTCTCCATCCATCTCATTTTATCCTTACATCCATCCATCCTATTCCTCCACCCATCGTTCCTCCTGCCTCTGGCCTCGAATCCATCCCTCTATCCTCCACCATTGCTGCCATGTCCCCTAACGTCCTGAGGCAGCTAGGTCCAGTGGTTAGAGCTGGGACAGCTAGGACGCCTGGATTCTCATCCTGAAAGGGAAACCCGTTCCTGACACCAGGAAAAGCATGCTGGGCATGGGAATAGAGAGCCAGGACTGCTGGCAAGGATCATGGCTCAGTGTTTAGAGGGAGGAGACTCCTGGATTTTCTTCCTAGCTCTGCTCAGCACCTTATGGGCAAGCCCCTGCGCCTCGTGTGTGCCTCAGTTTCCCTATCTGCAAAACAGGGATGAGGCCATTGCCCCACCTCACTGAGGGACCATGAAGCTTGCATAATGAAAAGGCTTTGAGACCCTCAGTGCAGTGGCTGCCCCTGCGAAAGGAACAGAAAGCCTAGACTGGCCCCGAATGTTGTCCTTTCAGCTGTTACGGCACTAAACACAGGCGTAGCCTCCTCCTCTTCGCTCCCTCTCCAGCCCAATAAAAAGTTCCATCCCCTCTCATGTTCTTTTCTCTAGCAATAAAACCCTTGCAATTGCTCAGCTTTGCCCTTGTCACTAGGGGTATCTTGGGTCTTCCCCATTCCATCCGCATCTCGAGTCACCCCGGCCGAGCTTGCGTTTCCGATGCTCACCGTCAGGGCCGCCAGCGACACGCTAACCTGGCCCCGGTCTGGCTCCGCCTCCTTTGCAGTGGTCCTCCGTGTTTGTATAATAGAAATCACGTCGGGCGAAGTCTCTTTAACACTATTTTTAAGATTTGTAACCCACGCTCCTTGTCAATTGTTTAGCGAGTGGCTTGTTTCTCCCGCTGCTGAGCTCACTGTTGACTCTGCATGCCTTGTTCCTTCTCCCTTCCATCCAGGCGCTCTGGAAAATTCAGCATGAGAAGAAATCAATATGCCTATTGCTTATCTGTCATTAATAAAGAGTGTTTCTATGTGCATTGTGTAAAAGGTCTCTGGCTTTTCCTCCTCACTGCACTGCGCTGCCCCATCCCCCCGACTCCAACCAGCTCATGTTTCGGGAGCAAGATGAGGTGAGGGAGAGAAGGAAGGTGGCATCTCAGCAGGGGGGTTAAAACAAAACTCACGCCCTCCTCCGCAGCATTGCACTCCACAATCACAAGCCAATGAGGTTTTAAGGTCACGCTTTTCTCCGCAGGTATGTGGGCCAGAACATGAGTGTTGCTTTCTCCAGCATGCACTGAATAGCTCTGAGAATTGCAGAAGAAGAGGGTTGAGAGAGACCTCAGGAGGTCATCTAGTCCAGCCCCCTGTGCAAAGCAGGGGCGGAGGGGAGGCATAAGGGGTTGGCCAGCCCCCGGGCGGGAGGAGCTGGCTACTAGCCAGCAGGAGGACTAGTGGGGTCAGAGGGCCAGTGACCCTGCCCCCCACATTCACCAGCGGGAAATGGAGCAGCATAGCCAAAGAGCAGCATGAGCTGGTGAGTGCGGGGGGCTGGGGGGGAAGATGTCTGCTGCTGGAGCCAGCCCTACTAGTCCCCTGGGGCCACCTTGTCTGAGGGAAAAGGCAGGGTGGGCATGGAGGAAGGATGGGACAGAGCAGGGGCAGGACTAGAGCAGAGAGAGACAGGGTCTGGGGTGGAGGGGGGGTTGTCCTGGCCCTTCCCCTGGTGGGGGGGGCCTCATGAGGCCGGTGCACCCCCCTGTTCCCCCTCACCAGATGCCTCTGCCCCTTCAGGTAGCTGCAGGCTGCTCTCAAATCCCTGCTCACGTGTGTCTTCTGCAGACAGCCCAGATCCCTCAGCCTCTCCTCATAAATCATCTGCCCTAGTCCCATGGTCTTTCCCACCTCCAGCCCTGCCTCCGAGCCAGCATCCTTTCCATCAGAGCATCTGAGGAAGCAAGACTCTCCGCTGTGCTCCCAGGGATCCCTCTGGCACGCTGCAGCATCAAGCCCCATGATTCTGGGTGTTTCTGGGTGTCACTGAGCAGCGCTCTGTTGGTGGGGGGAGTGGAGGGGGACACGGGGCAGGGTATGCGGCTCCAGATAGAGTGCAGCTATTCCTGCCTTCCAGCACAACAGCCTCTGGGCTCTGCCTGTCCTGCCAGGAGAGCTGAACCGGTGGATGACTTAGCGCCGGGACAGAAGGAGTGACCGTGGTGCGGGAGGGGGAACAGATGAGGGAACGAAGGGGCACACACAGCCCTGGCCGTGCGGGGTGCTCACAGGGCTGCTGGCATGGAGGGAGAATGGGGGATCTTGGTTCGGGAGGAGGGACTGAGGGCGCAATGAACCCCTGGCTAGGGGGATACTGGGAGACCCTGGTATGGGGCAGATTGGGGGGAGGGGGGTGACACAAGCCCC